AGAGAGAGATCTTTACAGCTAAGTGGATATAAACTCTTTGGGATGGGTTCCCACCTTGAGCATCTCAAGACTACTTTACTTTGTCTGCAACTGACTTAGCCGTGCCAAAGGCAGCACTATCGTAAAGTTTGCACGACGGCCACCCGATCCCTTGACGAGGCGGCACTTTGTTCCTGCATCCGGCTCCAAAGTTTCACTCTCAATTTTCGTTTGACCGTCTTCCTTGTTATCTCGGTCAAAGATAGCGTGCCTCTAAACGAAGTCGCTAGGTTAAAAAATTCTGGGCATTTACAGTGCGTCCTAGTCAAACATCTTTGTACCAGGCCTGACCTCTGCTCGCCAACCAAGCTTAGCTCGGCGCCATCACCAGCAACTTAAAGCCCATTCAGTCTAGTTCGCCCAATTTGGTAACAATTACTCTTTCAATAACTAAAAAGAAAATTGATCATAACTTAAAAAAAAAATGGCATAATAATGTTGCGATATGGCGCATTCTTTTAAGGTGTGTAGGTTACAATTTGCGTTTTTCAAAACAGTCTGTAGATGATTTTTTCTTTATTTGAGTAGAAAAAATGGGGGATTGACAAATAATAAAATAATCTTATATTTTGGATTTGTGGGTCATATAGTTTTTTTTTTTTTTCAGATCCATTTAATTATATGTATTAAGTTTAGTAGAGCGAAGCGGTTTCGAAAGCAGATTATAAATTTTAAAATTTAAACTGCAGCTAGCGGATAGAGCGGTGTGGATCAGTGCAGTTTTAGCGGATTGGGCGGTATTTTACACAACCCTACCTGCCACATTGGAGTGTCACATTTGAAAAAAGTACACTAAGGAGTTATTTAGTGTGTCACATTATACTACATTGGAGTGTCACATTTGAGAAAAATGTACTAAATTTTTTTTCAGTGTGTCACATCATACTTGTCACATTATATTTGTCACATTAATGAAAGGGTATAGTCATCCATCAAAAAACTACCATAACAAAAAACAGGATCACACAAAAAGAAACAATCTACTAATAGGACTTAACAGATTAATAGAAAAAACTGGAAACTAATTAGAGTATTTCTTCGTGAGATGGGATTCATTGATAAATATTTTAATCAATTTTTTTAGATAAATGTATGAGTGGGCTGTTTAATAAATAATCTTGGTTGGTCCTGAAGATCAATCCTTAAAGGTTTATAAAGAATAAAATATATGTTTCTAAACCTCCGTTTGGCAAGAGCTAAACAGGGCTTTTTTGGCTATTTTAGCCACAAAAGACAAAATATGCTATTTTAGCAGCAAAAAATAAAATATCACATCCAACCCATAATCATTACATTCTTCTCTCACAAAAAAAGCCAAAAAAGCCAAAAAACTCTTCCCAAACCAAACTTTTTAGCCTAAGCTAAAATAGCCAAAAAAACCAAAAAGCCAAAAAACCAACCCACGGAGGCTAAGTAACTTATTTCTTTATATTTGGTGTTATGTTTTTTCTTTGTGCTCTTGAGTATCTCTTGTCAACAATTTTTTAGTTTTATAACAATATAGACATAATTTTATTTATTTTTATAAATAAATGGATGATTTTCATGAATATATTTCACAGTAGTTTATGTTGTTAGCAAAAAAGTTTGTAAAAATTATATTTATTTGAAATCAGATTATAAAAAGCAAGGACACAATGCATCTTTAATCCTTGACAACATGGCTGTCCTCAAGCAATGGTTGAATACCTTTATATTGTAAAATTAAATCACATAGCAAAAGGTTTGGATCATTCAAAATCATATTTCATGGCGATCTAAATTCCTGAGGTTGAAATCAACATATCCATCCTATCCGAGATGGTCCACCAGTGAATAAACTTGGCTGAGGTATTAACCTAATGACTCCCTTAAAAATAAAAAATAAAAAAAAACCTTAATTACCCTAGCTAGATTAGCGGATAAGATAGATTAATGGTAGCAGAAAAAAAAAAACTTTTGAAAACAGGCTCAACTGATATATTTACCAACAGGACAGCGATTTCACCATCAAATTACTTGCAAAATTGACCTAGTCATATCTATTCATTAATTTGACAGGAAATGAGCATCGAGAAGTGAACATTTTTGTTTCTTGAACTTAATCCAGCAGCGGGCACTCACATTAAAGTTCCAACACCAGATATGAATTACCAAAAAAAACATGCTCGATGTTCTTGCATTGAAGAATATAAGAGGGGGAAAATTATTCCTAATACAAAACTAGAGTGCTGTTTGGTTCTTCATTATGTAAGCGGGCTCACTTTCTAGCATGAAACAAGCTATGCATAATTGTACTTCGTCAGATAATCTGTTGGCTTAGCGGGAAGTTCTTCAGAAACCTATTAGTGGGCAGTTCTTCAGAAACCTTTCTCCTCTGCACAAGAAACATAATGAACTTAGTAACAAATGCATAGAATTCATAAAGTTAATTGATTTATTCATTTTTTGTTTCAGGTACAACAGTATTTTCATTGTAAACACCAACTTTGATTTCCATGAGTGCTCCTTGAATGTGTACGATAGACCCTTACTTGGAAGCATGAAAAGAAATGTGGGTGTGGGGAGAGGAGGCAGGAGCAGAAGAAAGAGTGTCTTTAGGAAGCTTTGAATGAAATAAAAAAGAAAGAACTGTTAACTTCTTCCTTGGTTTCATCCTAATGGATATCCTTCTAAACAACATACAACATAGGATATCATCCTACATGCATTTAGTTAATTCAGCCATTACTAAGGCAAATAGGTAAGGAGTAATTGAAAATTCACTAGTTTCCCCTGTAGGTTGTAGTAGCCACAACCCCCGTCATCCATGTTTTTCATCGCATCCTTATACCCTTTGGTCACACTCTTTTTCTCCAACACCAACCATATTATATTTCTAGGCACCCTGTTGTAAACTTTTTCTAAATCTATAAAAAAAAACATATGTAGATCCCTCATTTTCTCAATGTACTTTTCTATTATTCTTCTTAGTCAATATATCGCTTCTTTAGTTGATCTACCATACATAAACTCAAATTGATTAAACGACATTGTCGTTGTAACCCTGCAGAGATGCTCAATCACTCTCTCCCACAATTTCATAGTATGAATCATGAATTGAATGTCTCTATAATTGTTGCAATTAGGGCTGCTCGCGGGTCGGTTTTGGCTGGGTGCGGGTCAAACCCGACCCGACCCGCACTTATGCGGTTGGGGAAAATGGACCCGCAACCGCCCGCGATGTGGTTCGCGGTTTGTGCGGGCGGGTGCAGCTCGGTTTGCGGTTTAGTGTTTTTTTTTTTTTTTACTTAAGCAAATTTGACATTTTTTGTTACTTTCTAAACACTTTTTTTTTTTTTAGAAGAGTTATAAATTAAATTACAAGATATACAATTCATGATCATAATAAATAGTCCACATGTTAGATAAGATGATATGGAACCATGCTTGAGGATAGTAATTAATCTTCCTCCTTAGCTTGCAAAAACAAACCCTTAAAAGTCAAACTAGTAACACTAATATAAATATGCAAAAACAAACCCTTAAAAGTCAAACTAGTAACACTAATTTTAATAGTGGATTAATCTTCACTGTTTAGTTTTTAATATGCAATAATGTGATAATAGAATGACAATTCAAAATATCATATTTAACTGTGTCTACTAGACTAATGGAATATAATGATTTTTTGTTTATATATATATAAATAAAAGTCAAACTAGTAACACTAATTTAAATATCATTAGATCATGATAATGTATATAAGTGCCCATATAATAAATTTTACTTTCATCCAAAATGTAAAAATAAAAATAATAACTAGTTATCTCCATCCATCCAAAATGAAAAAATAATAATAATAACTAGTTATTTTTTCTTTAAAAAAAAAAAAAGAAAAAGATGATGCGGGTTGCGGGCGGGTCGGGTTCAACCCGAACCTGATCTTTTGCCAATTTCTTGACCCGTACCCGCCCGCCTACCTACATCGAAACCGCCCAAAGCACTGCGGGTAGGGTAGGGTCGGGCGGTTTGTGCGGGCGGGTGTGTTTGTTGCCCAGCCCTAGTTGCAATTTTGGATATCTCATTTTTCTCCACTCATCATGTATTTTCCTAGTCATTAGAATCTTATTAACGGACTTTGTTAACCAAGACGCCCATCCTTACCTAAGCATTTTCAAGCCTCAATAAGGATACAGTTTGATCCTAATGCTTACCTAATTTCGTCTTCTTCGGTACAAGTTACACCTCAAACTCGCTTGGTCAACAATAAAACCTATTTTCTCTAGTCCCATCAAAGCTATCATATTCCACTACTCTTAGATTTTCTAAATGATTTTTATTTAACAGTTTCTAAAAATAATTTTTTCGCCTTTCCTTAACCTCCTCATCCTTGACTAACACCTTCAAATCCTCACTTTTATATACTTGACCTGATTAAGCGTCTCGTTTCATTTCTCTCAATTTAGGAAATTTATAAATATTATTTTCTCCATCTTTACTATCTAATCTAGGGTAAAGATTGGTGTAGGCTTTTAGCTTAGCATCCCTAATTATCCTTTTAACCTCCTTATTCGCCAATTTATACCACTTAAAATCTGCATCCTTTTTTATCCTTCTGTCATTTTTCAAACCATTCATTAGATACATATTGATCATACAACCAAATTATTAGTAAAGGATCATACTTTTGAATTATTGTTTGATGTTTTAGCGTTGTCAGTTGAAATCTGAAATAAATCTTCATCATCATCAAGAATATCATCATCGATCCTGCGAACGACCTCTCTTGGTGCCTGAGAAAGAATTTTGACACCAAGTAAATCTCACGAGTACAAACTACCAGAAAACAAAGGCAGCAATATGGCAAAGTAGCAGTAGTTTGACAATGATATACTTACTCCAAATAATGATTTTATGAGTGCTTCATCCTCTTCTTCCTACTTTTCCTGTTGACAAAAAAAATCCCAGGACTTTGTAAGAACAGATGGTGATAAAATAGTATCCAAATTCACAGTTTTGAGTTCCTATGCTGCCTTGACAAATTCACACTGCAGCTATGATGTGGTTAAATAGCTATACCTCTAGATGATTTGTTATGACATCAATTGGTCCAACAGTTTAAAGTATAGAAATACTGAAGCTCAAATTCCAGCAAAATTATAGTTTGCTTTTGAATTCGAGCCCCATCAAATTCTCGTCAGATCAATACAGCCAGTGCCTAGCCTTAACACTGAACAGATTTTAGGTAGGCATGCCAAACCAGCCATTTAACTAACTTATCTCAAAAGAAGAAAAAGAGACATTCAAAGATTTTAATATATATGTATATATATATATGTATATATCTAGAACTTATTACTTGTGTTAATTTTCAGTTCAATGCGTTAAGGAGGCAACCCGAATCAAAACCTATTATGTTCAAAAGTGAGTAGAAGATTACTTGAATGCAGCCCATCCAAAAAAAAGGTCAAACTACATGCTTACTTCAGGCAGTTCTGCAGGTATAAAATAGTATTGCCAGCTAAACATAAATTCAATCCCACATTAGATACTGCTGCCGCCATTCACATAAATCCAGTACATCACAAAAGTGACCAAAATGGCAATTGGGTTTCATTGTTCAAGGCCTACACAAAATGCATTTAAACCCAAAAGGTTGAAATAATGAATGAGCATAAATGACCTTACCTTTTCCTTAGCTGAGCGTTGCAAGATCTCCAGCATTGCATCTACCTTGATAGTTGCTCGTCTTGACTGAAAAAGCAGAAAGAAGACTTGTTTTAGTACGCTTAAAATATAAATTCGAGTTCACATCTGAGTAAAATGAATAAAACAACAAACTTTCACACACTTGGTTAATGATCCCATATGTCAGGCAAATTGACATTTTAACCCAAAATAAGTTTACCAACCTATGAAGTTAATAAGGCCATGAATTCAGTAACTGAATCATTAAGTTATTCTCAATACATCTAGAATTCCAGCCTCGGCCCTGCCTGACTCTATTGGGTATGAGTTGGGGTTAATCGGGTTGGGGATTAATAAAACTAATCTGGTCAAGGTCGGAAATAGGGCATCCCCTCCCTGAACCCCCAGATTTTTTATATATTGATTATCAACATACCCCCTTAATATATGTTTATTATGATCACTACGTATTAGTTATTTGACTAAGCAAGTACCCTCATGGACTTCACTTCATCCAGGGCAGCAAGGATGTCCATCTCTCTTTTTGAATCCAACGTTCTATTCTCCAAGGATTTCATTGCATCTCCCATCTCTTCAGTTTCCCTTTTTTGATTTTCCGTATCTGCTTCCTGACAAAGAGAGCAATGTACAAATTATATAAGAAGCCAAAATCAAATCATGAAATCAACAAAATAAGGAGAACTAAAGATGAAATAGAAAGCTGTATATGGCATGCTAACTTAATACCTCATCCTTTGCACGCCAAGGTTCGAAATTCCGTGATGCCCCCGACTCAACAACGTAGTCTGAATTTTGCGGGTCGGTCTTTATTGTTAACTCAGCAGAGCACTTAGTGCATTTGAAATAAAACCTGAATATTCGGATCCCCAAGTATGTCTGAAAATAGTTTTAACATTTCAGTCAGTTCACTGAACAATAGTAATACGTATCTCATAATCAAAGTCTGAAAAGGATGTATTTTACCGATCACAGAAATAAGGATAAATAAAGTGAAGATAACAATATTATAACCATCTTTCAAACAGCATAATGTTGATATTTCATCCAATGTCACCTCATGCTTTTACATAGAATATGTTCAGTCAGGACATCACTTCATAAGGTTAATCCCTATGTGAAAGTAGAAAAGATAAGGTAGATGGTAAAAATCTGGCATCTAGAACAGTAGTAGATTTGTAGTGATTGTATTGGGGGTACAATGAATCCACATAAAAATATGGTTGCTCTACTTAGAAAGTGTCTCTAGATTTATGATCAATAGTTGCCTTCTTACACAACTTGTGTTAATCCTCTAACCTCAATTGGAGACATCTACCATTTGTCACTAGTTAAGAAATAATAGGTGATCCACAGAAACAGAAACAAGGGAAGAATGATAACTTCTAATGAAGACAAAAAAGGGGGAGATCCTGAATTTTTATGAAAAAAATTTAACCCCCTCCCCTCTTTCTAGAACAAAAATAATGACTTTCTAGTTCATATGTAAAAACAAGTTCAAAAACACAAGAAGTTTATGCAGACATTTTGATCAATTAGAAATCGTGGTAGTTATGCACAACAACATTCTCTTTGGATAAAAACCTACAAAATAGTTGTAAGGCCTAGATAATTAGTCCTTATCTAACATCAAATTAATAAAAAAAAAAATCTAAGTGACTATAAACTAATTAAAATGGTTTTCCTTATCAGTAATAAGCAGATTGATTTTCGCTGTCAAAAACCTCTATTTAAAAAACAAAAAAATAATCATCACAGTACCAAGAGATACCGTTCCAAAAGGTTAACAATCAACCAAATGTTAAAACAAGTAATCTGTCCCATAGAAACTAGTTTTGTAAACATCATAATTTAACTTAAAAATTAGAAAGATCATGAAACACATCATATCCCACTATACATTACATATGAGGAACCTATGACTAGAACGCTTGATGTGCATAATCACCAGCATGGAACCAGGCCCTAAAACATGCATGAACCAATGGCTATTTTGTTTTTTTATTATTCACTATGTGCTCATACCACAAGGGTGTAGTCTGATCAATGTGTCTAGGTGATTAAACACATACCACCAGCAAAAGCTGATGTACACAAATCTTTTGGTTCCCTACAAGTCCAATGGATAAAGCCCGAGCTGTGAATAACATCCAAAAAGTACACTTTCCTTCACAAAAAACTGTTGCCTCAATTACATGCCAACAATATTCGAGTTCTACTAGTATACCCAAAATTTCTAGCAATCAATCATTCTAAAACAAAGACATAAATTTAGCAGGACTAATAGTTAGGGGATTAATAATCCATGAGATTAGCGTAGGATTGGTTATCCAACTCGGTTAGTGAGATACATAATTCCCTCTTCTCCACATTTATTTTGCAATAGATATGGAAATATATAATCCCAATTATATATATGTTTTGCATTATTAGTTGTAGGATTAAAAAATCCAACAATTTTGTTAAACAAAATGGTCATTGAAATCTAATCCGAATAAAATTTGCAAAATGTAATGTGAATCTCATGAATTAATAATCCCAATCAGGGATGGAACTGTATAGGGACAGGCAGTGGCCACGGTCCCTCCCAAGTTTTGGAATATTCAAATACTACCCTTATATTTCATGATTATTTATAATATATAATGAGATTATTTACAAAAATATATAATGAGATGATACCTATTTTATAAAATCACTCACTAATTTTTTATTTTATCAGTATTTTATAATATATAATGAGATGATTTTTAACTATTTTAAGTTATAAAATGACTAGTTAGATTTATTTAATTTCATCCTTATGAAATTCTGTTTTCACAATGTTTGTATAAAAAATTATTTTTAATTAGTCATGTACCAAAACTAAGTCAAATCTTTTTATACACACAACTTCCCCACCCCCAAAAACAACATTTCTGGTTCCGCCACTGATCCCAATCCTAGGCAATAGTCCGCCCAACCAAACAAATATATCAAAAAAACACACAGATAATGATACAAATACACAATACACAATATGTAGAGTCTCCAATTTAGAGAATTATAAAAAATAAAAATTCTCAGGTAGTGTAATCAAGGACTATGAAAGAGATTAACAATTAACAATTACGAATAAATAGATACACACACATATGCATACCTGACTTCTTCCTTGCGGGAGTTGTACTTGGTACCTTTGTAGATGTAATTGCTGCAGGTGCCGCAGCGAATGCTCATGGGAAGCATCATCCGCACCTTCATCTGCTGGTTCTTCGGCTGCCTCCGCCTCGGAATCTGGGCCGGATCGAAGTCCGATGGGTAGTACTTGTTCAACACCTTCCTTTCTCCCATCTCTCCTTACCAAAACTACAAACAACAAAAAAAAAAAATTGATAGATCAATAAATTTGCTTCAAATTCAACTGTCACACACACAATGTTAAGTTATTGTTATTTGAAAATGAGAGTTTATCTTTATTAATTCTTTATTTCTTCATTAAGAATGATTGATAAAAAAATATCTAAAAAATAGAAGAGGTAACATTCTAATCTTACATGTGAACCCATGTTAACTTCTCACCCATTAGACCATATCATCATCATCCAAAACAACATTTTCATTAATTTAAATTTAAATATTTCATATTTATCAGATATATTGAACATCCAAGTGTAGATATTTTTTTCTAAATAATTTAGAAAAAGTAGCCGAATCTATACGACTCACGATTCGATTCAATTACCAATTCGGTACAAAGTTATTTTAATTCACAATTCGAATCCCGATTTGACAAATATGCTTTTAGAGTACACAAAGTTACGAAGAAAGTAATGTGCCACGTGATAAAATGTGGTACATTCCATGATAGGTTTTATCTATTACATAGTTGGAACTTGGAAACTTAATAATTTAATTTTGAAACTAGAATTAAATTAATCGTATTCCATACATTGAGTCCTCAATATATTGTTCCTTGGTCTCTTGCTCAAAATAAGTCTATTGTATAAGAATTCACCTTGCAACTCTTGATGTTTAGCCTCATAATTAGAAAAAACATGGACAAAACTTAGAAGCAATTTTCTAAAAGGGCTGCAACGTGGCAGCATCCATATTGGTTTGGCCTAACCCAACCCCGATCCCCCAATTACACACAAAGCATCCCAACCCATCCCTACCCCTGCCCCACCCCGCCTAAGCCAACCGGTTTGACAAGGTTGGGGTGGGTTGAACCGACATAGATGCAATTAAAAACACAGCTCTTATTCTTTTTATTTTCCTTTGACATACACGCTGCTGGATTCCAATTATATTCTATTTCTAGTTGATAATACCAAAGATGCATGGATAGGTACACAATATAGACACACCAACCATGAAATTTTTGAACAAATCAATACAAAACGTGGCAAGGAGACGACAAGAAACAAATATATAGTTTTATTTACGGCTGCGGTACGCCGATATTTTATTATTATTATTATTATTTTTTTTTATAATTATGGTTAAAGGATCCAACCTACAAAATATCATGGTTAAAGCATAAAAAATAATATTTGTGATTATTAACGTTCTGTGGGGGAATAACTGTGTTCTAAACTTCTAATTAATTTTTTTGATTAACATTCTTCTGTTGAGGAATAACTTTGTTCTAATTAATTTTTTTGATTATTAACATTCTGTAAGTATGATTGATTATTAATTTTTGTGTTGTAATTTTTTTTTGGTTCTACTATACATTCTGACCAGGTTCTACCTCTCTGAAGAAGAAAGAAGAAAGAAGAAAGAAGAAAACAACAAAAAAAAATAAAGATGAAGACGAAAAAATATAAGACGAAGAGATGAAGAAACAAATTCTGACCAGTTGCTCACCGTAGGGAAGACGAAGAGATGCAAGAAGGGACAAAACCAGTCGCTTGCTGATCTGCAAAACAAAAAATATATAAGACGAAGAAGAAGAAACGAAGAAGACGAGGGTGGAAGATGTAGACGAAGAGCACTCACCGGAACTCTCCTTGCGTCGCCGTCGCCGGAGGCCTTCGAAGGGAATGGATGGGTCGCCTCTTCGCTGCTGTGTTGCTGAAGTGAAGAGATTAGGGCAAAACCTAGGTCATTCGTGTATATACCTTTTTTTTTGTTTTTATGAAATTTTACTTAATATTGCTCCGGTACCCCTCATTTCTACTTTTATGAAATTTTACTTAATATTGCTCCGGTACCCCTCAATTCTCCTAGAAATTTGATTTTTGTCCCGGTGTACCCGAAATGTAACAAAGCAGTACCCATGCCGTACCCGATTGAACCAAACGTACCGGACTCCTTTTTGTCGTACCTGATACGCGTACCTGCACCCAGTAAGTACCCGGTACGTGTACGGCATTATATTTGGAATACCCGTGCTTCATAGTGACTAACCAATTATCCATCCTTCTTACACTTACACATAAAACATTAGATTTGTTTCATCTTCCTCAAATTATTAATAGTGAGAATCTTACCATGAGTTGTCGTTCAAGTAAAAAAATATATATTAGTAGGTATTTCACACCTCACACACCTCTCCACAATAAAGTCCCACCACTACTACCCAACAACCTTATAAAAAAGACTTGACTACAAAGCTTGCAAATTTTTCTTAGTCAGTTATAAATGGATGAAGAAGTTCAAATATAAGAGAGAGATAGAGACAGCCATTAGATCTTGCTCAACTCTCCAATCTCATTGTTTATGGCTTTGGAGGGTTAAAACAATTTAGACTTCTTTCCCCAAGTAACTAATACCTAGATTTTGCAATATACAAGGGTCGACCATTCCCAGACTAGTGTCGACCCTTGTAGACAGCAACAAGAGGCAAGTGTCGACACCACCAAGGCTGGTGTCGACCCTAAATTCCAGCAACACTTCCAGAAACTTCTTCAACAGGTAAGGGTCGATCCTTAGGAAAGCTGGTGTCGACCCTAGAATAGAATTTTTAAGTTCCCAAGGAACTTTTTTACAAGAACAAGCGCAAACAAACAAACCCCCAACGAGTTTAAATCGGATCATACTCCTCCAAAACCAACATTCGACAACTCCAAAGACTCCCAAAATTGAAAATGAGGGAATTAAATACACTCTCCAATGGATTAAAGGATGCGGGTGTTACAAGTCGTCTTCATCTCTTTCAACGATCATAGCTCAAGATTCTTTACGGGTCGTGTTGCTCTCTGTGAAATGAGACGTTCGAATCTAAATTATGTCTATAAACCCCCTCTCCACCCATAAAATCGCATTTACTAGCTCCCACAAATCAAGTAAGTTGCAGTTTATGCATTGTGGCAGATTCACTCTCCGAGCAACGAAACAATGACAAGACCGAGGTCAACTACATCACAAATTTCTCTCAAATTTGAAATTACAACTCATTGATTTCCTCAAAGATCCTCAAATTCATTCCCAATTTATGTATGTTAGACCAAATTTGTGAAGCGTATTCTCGAATTAGACGCATACCGAAGAATCGCACATCCACCCACTGTACCCACTCCGTCACTGGTGACAACTATTCCACTTCTACTGCTTTGGTACGTATATCCTTGAATCGAACGCTTATTTTCAATTTTTTTTTTCTAATATTTTATCACACGTACAGAACGCTTATTTTTAATATTTCCAATTGCTATAGGTAACAAAAAATGTTAAGAATTTAGGACAAAAAGATTTGTGTATTTTCAAGAAATGACCGAAATTGATGAAAACTGTTGTGCCACAAGGGCCTTAGCCCGTGCATCCACACAAGGAGCCCCTAACTCTAACTCTAATGAAGAGGATAAAATGCTTAATAAATTTTGGTCTCCTGGAGCTGGAGCTGGATGGAGTAATGTGGCTGAACCTATTACTGTTGACTTATTCGACGATGAGTATATAGAACAATCGAAGGGCAAAAGTCACAAGAGGGGCCCTACAAATAGCCAGACTGATAGTGGTCTTTCTAAAAGGTCACGGTCAAGTGGCTTTGATGATGTATGCGCAGCTTTCACTACCTATCTACAGGCAAAAACGGAATATTCCCGTGCCCGATTAACAGACACAGAGGCTGTAAGTGTAGGTGGTGATGATTATTCTCTTGATCCATGTCAAGATGCCCCGTTAGAACTTGGGGACATACCATCGATCCATGTCATTAGGGCACTGACACTATTCAAAGACATGGAATGGTGGAGGTTTTTTATGCGTACTCCTGCCCATATACGCTTAGTTATGATCCTAGCTTTGCAGTAAAGAGAGAAGTTATGGCTTGATCGAGCTTGCAGTTCTCTTTGTGGTTGTCCAACATGATTTGATAATGTCTATGTTGTTCTTATTATTTTTTTTTTCACCTAATGACATGCTCTGTTTTATCCGTCTTTTTTTTGTTTATTTCTATATTTTTTTAAATTGTTTCTGTTTTACATTTAGATGTGATTTTATTCTTCTGCATTATTTCATGTCTGTTTTCTTATTTCTGCTTCAACTTTCAATTTTACACAGCATACAATATAAAAAGGTAGTAATGACAATATGACTAAATATTAATATGTTTTTTCGTCGCATGTATGTTTCCATCTAGTTCGATAAATAACTAAGGCCGACGAATTGTAGGCAATGGTTTTTAGTTTCACCAATAATGGTAATAGTTAGCATGTTGTTAATAATTTTTTTTTAATTATGCGTTATTGTCATGCAGCCGAAACAATAAGTCATCCAACACAGAAAACAATGCAATGGAGAGGTCATCAAATGAGGATAAGGTTATTGAAGATTTTATGGACTTTTTGATGATTGCTTTTATGAATAAGCATATGAATGCGTCAACCAGTAAACAACCGCAGCGAACTTGTCCATTCAAAGATGATGATTATATCTTCAGTTTATCAAATGGCCATCCAGAAATAATGATGGACATCATGCGAATGGATGCCCAAACATTCATTTTATTAAAAGACACATTACTTCAAAATGGCTTTGTCGAAACTGAACATATACATATCAATGTCGAGGAATGGCTTGGCATTTTTTTGTACACTTTTGCACAAAAATGACCGGCATAGACTACTAACCGATAGATTTCAACACTCCACTAAAACTATTTGTCGGCACATCAAAATCATTATGCGGGCACTGTGCAAGCCTGCATCAACGGTTATCAAACCACATAACCAAGATGAAATACCGGCAAAAATTTTAAATGATAGGAGATTTTTTCCATGGTTCAAGGTATGACTACATATTTGTCTTGCAAGTTTTCAATAACAGTAACGAATTAATTTTTTTTATTTTTTTATTTTATGTTTTACTTGTAATATCTAGGTTGTTTCGCGTTTAATGTCAAACTAATATATTTCAAGCAGGATTGTGTCGGTGCTATCGATGGCGTATTGGTGGATGCGAGAGTCCCAGCCTCAAGACATAATACATTCCATGGTCGCAAAGCTACGGTATCGCAAAATGTACTTGCAGCTTGCGACTTTAACATGTTGTTCACATTTATCAATTCTGGATGGGAAGGTGGTGCTCACGACACTGCAATTTTAGTTGACTCAATTACAAAAGCTGATCTACATTTCTCACACCGACCCCATGGTGAGTGTCACCGAATAACACACTGTTCTGTCTTAAATGTTGATTTTTGTGTACATATATTTGACGGAGCATTGCCTACATTATTTACATGTAGGCAAGTATTATTTAGTGGATGCCGGTAGGGCTGGGCATAAGATTATCCGACCCGCACAACCCGTCCTACCCGACCTTACCCGCACGCGTATGGGCGGTTTCGCAAATACAATAGGGTAGGGTGCGGTTTGAAATATTTCTAATTTTCGGGTTGCAGGCAAGTTGCAGGTTTGAACCGCACCCGACCAACCCGCCCGCATAACCTTTTTTTTTTTTCTACTAGATCTGGACCGTTCACTCCACTTCATCTATACCCAAACAAAACAAACAAACAAAAAATCCTAAACTCAAAAACACATTGCGCAGCTCTCATCTCACACTCTCTCTCATTTTTCAGTCTCTCACTCTCATCTGATCAGTCTCTCTCACTCACTCTCTCACTCTCATCTCATCACTCATCTGGGCCGATCAACCTCACAAGAGATCGACTCTCACACATCGCAAGATCGACCGATCGACCTCATTCTCTCATCGCACCGATCGACCTCGCAGGTATGGATCTCTATGTCTCTGTCTCTCTTTCCTCCCAGATCTCTGATTTTGTTGTGTTATTCAGACCTGTGTCTCCCTGTGTGACTAAGATTGTTTATCAATGGTGATTTTTTGTTCATTTCTGTGTCATTGGTGATTTTTTTTTAATATATGTTACTCTTAGTTTATTTGTTCATTTCTGATTGTGTGTTATGTGTCAATGGTGAGGACTTTGATAGTGCAGTCGATGATATTCATACTCCAAGACAGTACATAGTATGGAATATGAATAAGAATACTCATATTTACCCAGAATATGTTGTTAGCTTCAAGGTCACTAATTTCATACTATGTACTGTCTTGGAATACTAATTTCATACTCAGTTTTTTTATATTTGACATGATGAATCTTCTCGAAGATAGACTTCAACATGCAAATGGTGCAGTTGTCTTAGCAACCATCAAGTTGTTTCTGCAGTTGACGTTGTCTATGACTGATGTTCATCAACAAGTGCCTGTCTTGATATTCCGTTGTTTTGTTTATTGGTTCAAGTAATAATGATAAAGTTTGTTACTAAATGTTCTTGAGAGGATGCTCATTAATAACATTTCTTTGTTGATCATTTAATTCAAGCAATGTTGATATGCTGGTTCATATTAAAACATACCTTTACTGATCTATTAATTCAAGTATTATTGGTAGTGTGTTATTAGTCTCTATTGTACAGGAGATCCATTGTATTTGTCAATCAGTGATGTTTTTTGATGTGTTGCTATTTGAGTTTTGATCATCCTTCCAGTTCTTGCTGCATTGGTTGTTGCCTGTTAATATCATTCATCTACATGCCATGAGTTAATTTGGTATCTTCTGAATCCTTTGAGGCTTTCAAGTTCTAATACTTTGTGCTTCATGATTATAGTTTATAAATTATCTACATAATGAGACCCTGTGACTTTTATTTTAAAATAAAAACTTGCAGTGGCTTGCAATTTTGACTTCTACAGTGCATAGGATTGTTGCACCTATGTTCCATTCATGCTGAAATATAATCAAATTTTATATTTGTCAATGAGTAATGAAGAAATATATATGAAAGGGAGACCAGAGAACTTGAACACTGTGCAGCCTTTAAAAGGAAAATTACCAGTAAAAGAAAGGATAAGTAGGAAAGGCCAATTAAAAAATATCATAAACAAAAATATGGCCTATTCTAAAATGTTTATTCTGGTCCAATTATTAATGTTGGAGCATTTTAGAAAA